TTTGTCGAAAAGTTGAAAATGGCGGATATATTGAGCAAAACGGTTCTCGTTTAAACTCAAGATAGTTTCTAACGAATCCCCCCTCTCCCAAGGTTAGATTAATAAAAATTTTTAAGGGAACATACAAATTCCCAGCTCGAAAAAAAGACTCGGTTGAATAAGTGGTCAAGACGTTCACGATAAGTGAAATGCAGTTTTTAGTGAATGATTAGATAATAAGTATAATTCCATTAGGGATTGGGTTAGATAGATAGGGATATTTAGAATCAAATTTATATTAATGTTATATTTATAAATAAATCGTTGAAGTGCGACGAGCTACGCCACGTGCTAACCTCACTGATGAGCAACGAGACTATAGAGAAATAACTATTTCTCTATGAACGAGACAAAGAAAACGACAATCACGGAGTGATAGAAAATGAAGTAGATACGCTTAGAATGGAACAAGTTCATGGACATCAAACACAAACAGCGATCACAACACAATGTCAGCTATCTCACATAGCACAGAATACACTACCCAACAAGAAGCAAAAGCTTTGTCGGTACCTTGGATGTTCGTAGGACAAATTTCGGAGGGAGAATGACAGTTATACTACTTAGTATACTAAGAATAGTAATAAGGAAGTCGTTCAAAATAGTAATAAAATTATAGTTACACTAAGAAACAAAGTAATTGTTAAAACTAATCCGTTCTGTCCGTCCGATCTGTTTTGTATGAATTGAATTTTTTTCTGTAAAATTTAATATAACCCTATATCAATTCTGTACTGATAAGTATGTGACGGGTAGCTCTTTCGGGGCGACAGACTCAGTAAAACACAGGTTGAAATAAAAATAAATCTATTAATTTAGCATATATACAATAAATAAAATGAATCCTACGTCCCCGTCCGGATCCCGCGATGAATGAATTCCCCGGCGAACGTCTACAAAAGAAAGAAAAATTTATTATGAATAACAAAGAAATGAAGGTGAAATCAATCGCACGCAGACTTATACTCGCTTCCGCTTCAATTCATTGGGAGCTCCGAACGCACTCGCAAACTAAATATTCGGCTGTGCAGGCCCACGGTAATGTTCAATACACAATAGCGATGGGTTCTGCTTGGTTAAGGACAGAGTATGATCCTCAATACGGAAATCTCTCTGTCCGGGTTGGCTCACAGGTTCAATACACCGGCGAGTCGGGGAGCCTAGAGCGCTAGCTACAAGACTGTCTAATTCCGCTACTCATACGCCTTAAATAGCCGCTCCGAATCCCACTTCGCCGTCTCGCTGTAGAAGTGGATACGCAAATATTGACACTCCCACGGTTCAAACTGTTAAACGATCAGAACATCGTTACAAGTAAAAATGTCTTAAGTCAAAAATATCGATTTGTTTTTTTTTTAACAAACAAATTAACGTACTAAAAGTTAATCTAGTATGTCCGAGTCTGAGGCGCGTTACTATTATTTCTTGGCTTCTTGACGTAGGTAACACATTCCATGTCTCTATGCTGGGTTTCACTTGTTTTAACTTTGAATTCGATTCATTCTATTTATTTTTCCACGCAGTTAGGATTGATTTTTTATATAAGCTTTTATATCCGTTGA